GGGGGCTGACGTCCCCGACCAGAAAAAAGTGGGCGTGGTCGGACGTCGCTAAAAATCTTTCGAAAGTGATCCAGGGACCTAGCCCCCACCTCCCCTAAAATTATGACAATTTAGGAGTTTCAAATGCTTATTTATTCGATTTTAGAGTCTATTACATGTAATATGTACAAAATACTTTTTCCCCCCGCCGAATTGTGGTTTTTTTTTTATTCCCGAAGGAGTGGGGTGGGGGGGGGGAGCAGGAGACGGAGAGCTGGTTTTCCCTTAGCCCTCCCATAGCGTCCACTGGCAGCCATATAGTTCTCAGTAATATGTGTGATGTAGCATTGAAAATAAAACTTTAAAACATGGTCTACCTTTACCGTACCTTAAACCTTAAGCCATGCATCCGGCCCCACCATGGTTGGGGCTGAGGCGCGAAAATTTAGGTAAATAGAGCCTCTAGCTGGCCGGAAATAATAAAATTCACCATCATCACATCACCATTATAATCAAAATATAAGTGCCAACAAATTTCTCACGATCTTTTCATAGGGATTTTCTGCAATCATAATGGACGTAATTAATCTCTGTGATGCGCCATAGAAATTGACTTTGATGTATTTATTTTACTTTACCTACTTCATGTGCCAAAAACCAATCTTAGCATTACACGCTTTTTTCCCTCATAACTTCTTAAATAATGAAGTCACGCGCATTCAAGCCGTGTGGTAATTCAGATATTTTTTGTGGGCAGATATCATCTTGCTATAAGAAGATGTATTCTGGCTGTGCAGGGCCCTTTCGTTAAAACCTGGGTCATTTATGTAGTTCATTTTAACAATTTTCGGGTATCTTTTTGACTTATGAAATCACAATGCCGCAGGAAAGTAGGGGACCAACCCCCCTTAAAATATGTGGGGGACGTGTTACCCACGTCTCCCATGATCTGCACCCATGCCTACCGTTCTTCTTTGATTACTGATTGATCACATGACAGGATGAAATTGATCTTGCTGGGCTGTAGCAATTTTGTACCGCGCCCATGCCTACCGTTGACTTCTTTGATTACTGATGGATCACTGGATGAAATTGATCTTGCTGGGCTGTAGCAATTATGTTCCGTTGGCTATAAACCATAAATGAGTGCTACCTGGCTTAATATGTCATTTATAACTAATTTTGCATTTTTATCAACCTGTCAGTGTAGATTGTCAAGAGTTCGTTAGTACGCCTACAGGCATAATATCGTTATTACACCCTTGAAAAGCACCATTGCATAAAGCTTGCATTTGTACATATTCCTACGTGTTTTTAAATGGGTGTTAATTAATGTTTTTGTGTGACTCTCGTCAGCAACAGATTTTTTTCCCGTTTATTCAATTGCCGGCAATTATCGGCAATTTTTTTATATTTCTGTATTTTTTTTCTGTCTGTCATTTTTATTTTTCTTAAATTTTAAATAAATTAATGGCATGAAATTCAAATTTTTGCTTCTCAACGATGAGGGTTTGGGAAAGTGTGTCTCCAATATTCATATTCGCTTTTAGTTTCACTTGATATTTTATTTTACTTCATAGAAAATATTTTTAGTATGTGTTTTGATATTTGAAACAAACATCGCGATTTTAGGTTGCCAGGGCGACTCTTTACCACCAGAGCATGTGTATGATATCTTGCAGAGTATACGGACCCATTTGTTTAGAGATACAGTATGTACATTGATTGATTGGTACGGCTGATTCTTCGATTGATTGGTTGAGTATTATTGATTAACTGATGTTGATATAATTGATTGATTGATTCAGAGATTGATATTTTGATTGATTCGTTAAATTGATTGAGACTGACTGACTGAGATATTGATTGATTTATCTTGGGCGGGTAAGAGTGATTGATTGATTGATTGGTCATTTATTTACTGTTGGTACAGGCTTCCGTTTTTTCTCTTGTTATTCAAATTTTATTCATTGGACAGTGAGGCTACGGCATAATGTGTGGTGCTTACCATTAGTACATTACATTATCATTACTGTTAAACCTAGTTTCAATAAACGTCGCTACACGCTTTCCTGCTCTTTTGGCGTCGGGGACGGGACAGCACACAGTGCACGGTAGCGAATCTATGAAAAACAAGACTTTTTGCATTCTGATGCTTTGTTGTGGAAGCGAGGAGACTAAAGGTTCAGCATATAGACGACGGTTTTTCTCTTTCAAGTTATCATGATGTTGTTTTAATCATCGTAATTGTAATGGTCTTCCACTCAGGGCTGTTTAGAGTCAAGGCGCCAGATTACTAGCATATGATCAACGTTTTAGTAGTTTCGGAATTTATCCGTGCTCGGGGCCCACGATCCTATTATTAGCAGCGTTCATTCATTATTAAACTAAATAAGTTTGTCAATACGTCGCCTCGATGTCTAAAATAGAGCTTATAAAATTCAGAATTTACGCTTGGTGCATTCACAACTAGTAAGGTTTATAAATTTACCTGCGAATGATTTAAATTACTGATTATATAACTGCCGGTACACGCTTGTCCAAAATTCGTAAGACAGAACACAATAGGGAGTGAACACCCAATAATTGCTCCACTCAGACCATGCGCCATTACGACTTCACCCCACCCTCCTCCAATCCACCTTTCTTGGCAAGGATACGTTATATGATATAACTTGTTTGGATTGGCTTTTTCTTGAAACACGCCATGGATGCTGATAAAAGTTCTCTTTTTCACGGGGTAAATCTAGTGGTAGTGTTCACATTAAGACAATTCCCGCCAGTGTTTTAAATTTTCTGAAGAATGCTCGGAAATTGAGCACCAGCGTTAGAAAAATTTGGAAAAAAAAAATGCTGGCCGAAACAGTGTCTTTTGTCATGTTTGCTTGATATTGGCCGTCTCCTTTGCAAAAAAAATAAATAAATAAATAAACTGCAAAAAAGGGGGAAAAGGGGAAAAAAAAGCAAAAATAGAGCACTAAATAGGCCTCGCGTAATGCCAATATAGTTATTAATGGAAATTACATGAATGTGTATCAAATTATAGTACTGTAGTAACCGTTTTAATGCAAATTTATCTCTACTTTGCGGCGAAGATATTATAGTGTAGCAAGTATTGAAATTGTTATGATTAGAGACAGTCTCATTATGATCAGAGATTTAGAGGGAAAAACGGCTGTGTGACAATACGTCTCAATTACCTACCAATACCGGTCTTCAAGTGCCCGGGAGACAGACAGTTTTATAATATAATTCAATTAAAATTTTATTTCAAACTATAACAACAAAAAAAGAAACCACCGAACCGTTTACCTCGTCCCTCGGATGGACCGTGAAGACGTTTGTTCACGTGTGCATCGTTCTGTGCAAGCTTCTAGGCCTACACTATTCGGAAACAAAATCAACATATTAATAAATGTCGGTGACTGTTTCCTCCACCGATTCTCTTCTGTCGTGATCGTGCATAAATGTTGGGTTGTAAAAGGAATTGTCTCTAGATGTCAAGAGTGAGGTTTTTGCTTAAATCGTTGGACCTTTTAAATCACAAGAAATAAAAAAATCATCTTATTTTGTTCGTTTTATTATTTTATTTTTCTTTCTTTAAAATATACAACGCTTTGTGACCATAAATCTGAATTGGAAACAAAAATAATTCTCATCCGTAGCGGGTCTACTCTCATGACAAGGCTTAAAGAGTTGTTGTCATGAGAAGAAGGGATATGAACTCAAGCCCCTGGGACTGAAGGCGGGTACATCTGGTACACTAGGCTACAACTTTACGTTAAGGTTATACATCGGTATTAAAGATGTGTTGCTAGTCAGATCAAAGTTGTTAGATATTTACCTACTTTTAATAACAACAGCAACAACAGCAAGCATAGCGATAAAACAACAATTTTTCTCTATTCTCAGGAGTAAAAAAAATAGGTATTAGCTAATGCTGAGAAGGGTAAGCAGAACGTTGTGAAGAGGAGTGGCGAATCTTCCATTTGCACAGTGGACCCAACGCCAAGGAAAGATGCGCACCCTGGCTTGTGAGCCCAGACCCCGTGTTCAATTTACGAGTGCGTTGTAGGAACCTTTCACATTGTGTACGAACATTTGAATTATGTTAGTAGGCCTAATACAACAACAATGATTCATTTTCCTTTGTGTTTTTTTTTCTCGTCCGCTTAACATTCTAAATATTAAATAGTGTTTTTTCTATAGGATTATAACAATATTGTCTCATACAATGAATAAAAACAAAAAATGCACACATCTACAAGTTGTCTTTGTCGTAATGAACGTTGTTACTGAAAATTAACCTCATTCGTCGTTTAATCGCATCGCCTATTGTCGCTAGGTCCGGTTCCTGTTCGGCATTTTCCGTTTCGCCGAATTCTTTCGCGATTGCTGACATTTTTACATCGATGTCCCCTTCGATTGTCTGTAGCGCTTCTTCTCGTTCGCTGTCATTTTTGAAGTTTTCTTTCATAGCAAGTGCTGTCTTCTGAAATTCCCACGTCATTAGTTTTATTTTTACTTCCAATTCAGTGCTTAGATTGTCAAAAAGAGAATCTGCTTTCTTCGCCCCAGATTTGTCTTTGCCAGTAACACTTAATATTTGGCGGTTAAGAAAACGAAGAATGGAGTCTTGTGACTTGTCTTCGACAGACAGCTCTCTGTTGTTTCCTGGCGGCAATTTCTGTCCTATGACAGTCTCCCTGTAATGGATAGAACATCAGAATTAATCAATTAAATGTAAAACAATAATGTCATACAGTAATGTTTTGGACTTTAAGAGGGCGCTATTAAGATATTTTCTGGTGTCTGAGCGTTTCTCAGGGTGCTAGGAATTGTGATTGCATTAACACGGAGAAATAAGTTAAACTTATTCTAAACAATGATGAACCTCTTTTTAAAACATTTTAACAGTTGACGAATTTATTAGTTTTCAATAAGGCCAGGATTGGCGCCAATGTGTGTGTGTGTGTGTAGTGGGGAGGGGGGAGTGGCAAGAGGTCGGGCCCCGTCGGTAAAAGCTCCCCCGCCTGGAGGAAAATCACAATTTGTCGAGGAGAAATAAAAAATGTATGTATTTAATCGATTAAAAGCATTTGAAACCTCTAATTTGTCATATTTGAAAGAATCTGAGCGACGCACGGCCGGCCACGCCCACATTCGTCTCCCCGACAACCTCGAGGATATTGCCCACCCCCTCCCTCCCGTCGGGCAAATATCCTAGAACCACATCTGATTATAAAAGCCTAGAGGCTTTAACTTGGTCTTTTATTAGGTTTTAATTAGACTTTTAATTCTTTAATTTTTAATATTAAAATATAATAATAGTAAATAATAATGATAGTAATCAGGTTTTTAATTTGGTTGGTACCGGTAATTATGGACTCTTTTAGTTTATAACTTAAAGCTTTTGCAATTTGTAACGTCTCCCCTTCTCTTACTTCGTTTTTTTAAAGTCTGGGTCACACCTTAACTAAAATATCCCAGGGTGCAGAGGTCCATTCATGTGGTGGAAATCATCCAAATGCGATTTACATACACAGTTTGTTGCTTTGGATTTTGACCAACGCGGATGTATTTACTGACGCCTTCAATCTCGTGAAACCCAACGCCACTGTCCACATACACCCCGGGCTGTACTGACAATCCAGCGTTACCAAGTAGCTTCATAGGCCTACAACGTGCTGAACATTCTTATTAACTTATGCATGTTATGAATAGTTTTTCTATTCTATATTAATTCAAGTAATTATATAATCTGAAACTTACCAACGGGCAAAGCGGAACATGTACACAGACATGCAGTCATTATCCATAACGAATGTATATATTTCATCTTGAATAATCTTAATAACGATTCAGTAAGATATTCTTGTGTAGGCCAACTAGAAGTTGTTTTAGTTATGCTCATAGTTTGTATCTGCATCTTTGCATTCAGGTTATAGGAGCGCGCGGCTCAAATTGCTGTTTAATCCTCGCCACGTATTAAATTAGGTTGTAACATGTTTTCTTATTGGAAAAAACAATAGTCATCACAGAGTAGGACTATCATATATTGTTGGTGTTATTGTAATCTTCTATTGAGTCGCAATTGTTCATCGTAACAGCTGTGTAAGACATGGTTCGCTAGTCTTTTTTTATTACGAATTACACATCAGCTGTGACTGTATGAATTGACCGTGGTATATCATGAAGTTGGACACTGTGAAGTCGTCTAATATAACACAATACCGACGTGCATGTGTATGCATGGGCCAGCTCCCTGTTGGGTGAGTGAACAGTTGGTTGGTGCTTTCTCTATGGTGCATAGAGAATTTTCTCTATGGTTGGTGATAATCAACATCAGTTTCTCGAGATACGAAGTCTTCAATTACGTTGCAAATACAGTTCGCCCTCCAGAGACCACCTTTGGGACCTGAAAATTTGGGGTGGTTTCGGGGTTGGTTTCCAAATAGAGAGGCTAGGTTTGTGTTAAAAGATTGACAATTGTTATTTGGGTCTTTGGAAAAGTGGTCTCAAGTTAGAGATCCACACACACCTCATCCACACCATGCATGGAGAAAATGTACACACAAAATGGCATTCTCATACACTGTAAACTTGTTTTATGCAGTGTTCTCCGACTAAATGATGGAAGTCGTATGCCCCCTGTACACCCTGTCACCACCACTGCCTTTTTTTTTTATATATTCCCACCCCCTGTGTTGGTTTTGTAATTCTTTTGTAATGCGAACTTCTTAAAATTATTTCTGCAATTTAGCTTTGCATGCCATTGAATGATTTTATATGTTTGATTTTTTTTTTCAAAATAAAGATACCGTTTATATACACACAGTCGACGTGCGAGAGGCTTCTATTACTAAAATGTTTAAGGAAGATAAATGAGTGTTTTAACATCTTCTGCTTTGATTTAAACTGGATTTAACTGGATTTAACTGGATATGGCAGCCTTTGTGTAGTGTATTTGCGAGGTCCCCGACGGGGGAGGGCCGATGCTCCGACGAATTGTACTTTTTCTCCCCGACGGGGGGTGGGGGGCGCAGCCCAGGGTAAAAATTGCAAGTATCATCTGTGCATGGACCTTTATTACTATAATAAGATGCTCTGCGTAGCGTATTTAATTGGCAGTCCGCAAGCGCATTCACTGGAAACATACACATTGAAAACAACAGTTTGAAATATTTCTTTTCTCGAATAAATTTATTTCATTGTAAAAGTATGCTAAACAAAATTGAAAGTAATACCTGAGATGAGCGAATAAGTTATTAGGCCTATATTCCTTAGTGTGGTGTATCTAGAGAAGATCTACGACTCATTTTAAGCTATTAATAATTTTCTGTACGGTCACAGACAAAATATGTGGACTTAAAATGCTATGTAATTTTACCATTTGTAAATATGTCATGAGTAGATGTACCAGTGGTAAATGTGCGATAAGCAAGTGTACCATGGTCTACATACCATTGGTTGATGTCCATAAAGTATACGGACCGTTGGTAAATAGTGTGCCATAAGAAAATTGTTGTACTATGTATAATTGCTCCCTGTCTACATATACCGTGAACATTTGCCTAATACAGCAAAAAAAAACAAAAACAAAAACAAAAACTGTCGCTCTATAGCTTACCGTTAGTAGGGCCGATCTACAAAGAGCTTTGAACATAAAAAACATTAAATGTGTTATGATAGTGAATGATACATATTATTTTACATGCCGGATTTGTAATTCATACAGATGATAATTCAAACAATAATACATATTAAACATTATATTATTGTCCCCCTTTAATAACAAAATATATATTCGATTTAGTATACGCTGTTCTCCGAATGCAATCATTAAAGCATAAGTTAAGAATATTACATTTGCCTTCTTATTTAGAAAATCGTAATATTGTTACGTAAAATCATTTTAGATAAATCTTTTCAGCATTTCTGATGAACAAAAAGAATCGAGTCCGTGTTGTTGGCTTGACCCTTCCTCAATGTCGTTTCAATTAATTTCCATTTCCCCTCATCTTCCAATCTCCTTATAGTTTTTTCAAGTTTTCCGTCTTTGAGGGTCGGGTCCACGTTAAGCCAACGGTGCCTGAAGGAATTGAAGATGTAGCCTCCTGTGTTTGAAGACATAGCATAAGGAATTTTTAAACATTTATCTTAATATTCCTAATATTTTAACACAAGTAAATTCAATACAGAATTTATTATTAGTAAGTAGATATTAAAAACGGTTTTTCCCCCTTTTTTTGAGTAAAGCGAGATGTATAATTCGGGGGAATTTCAACAATAATCAGTGAGAGTGGTTCATTAACCCAACGCTAATGAGACACTCAGTTAATACATTACCATTCAATAATAATACGTAAATATAGAAATTCAGCTAGACCTAAAAAGTTGACAAATTAGAATTAAATTTACAGTGACAAAATCCAAAAACCAGAAAATAACTGAAAATAATAAATAAATATAAAATTAATAAATAAATTAATTAATAAAAAGTATAAAAAAATTACAATATGATAATGGTAACAATGATGATGATGATGTTAATAATAATGATTAGGCCTATGATGATGGTAGAGTTAAACCTAGGAAACAGCTTAATTATTGAAAATAAAATAATGATTATAGGCCTACCAGGTTTTGTAATCCGTATCCACTCGGGTATGACAGTTGGAGTCAGATGGTTGAGTGTAAACCCACCGCAGCACGTCACCACATCATAAGTATCTATAATATATCCAAAAGAAAATGTTAATACACAAAGATTCATTGGTTTAAAATTACATAAAACAAGACGATTTCATAAATGTGAACCAAGTTTTAGAACGAATGTTACTTTTTCAAATATATATATTTACTAGTGGCGGATTAAGTGGGGGACTCAGCCAGCCCAAGCAACCCACCCACACTAAATCTTTTAATATTAAACAAAAATGGAGAAAAATAGATTGTATTCAAAGTCTGAGAGTGCCATTTCAGGCCATAATCATACATTTGCTTACCTTCAGCCCCAACCATAGTGGGGCTGAGGTGATAGACTGTAAAAGTCCCTCCACGACAGCCTCCCCCCCCCCCTACCAGATGTGTATAAGAGACGGATCCTCCACTGTTTAAAATCAGATGTTTCAAATTTATTCATTTTTGAATCGGTTGAAAGAATGTCAATTTTGTGTTTGTGTAAAACTGTTCGTCAGGATTTCTTTTTCTGATACGCAGTCACTTGTGGGCAGACCAATATTTATTTTAAGCTTAGTATGTGTGACATTTTTACTTCATTTTCTATTATACAATTTGTCATTTTTTGTTATTGTCTTAAGCTTACTTTCTGGGTTCATTCCGGGTCTCCACATCTTTTTAGAACCGTTTTGATACATTGTAACTCTTTCTTCAGTTCCTCTCTGTTAGAGCCTATGTTTTCACCTCCAAAGACTAGACAGGACCAGAGCTAGCAACAGAGGGCGTTCTTCACGCAATGTCCATAACAACTGACTAAGCCTGATAAAGTCATGTTGATAACACGACAAAAGCTTGCGTAAGTTAACATCAATTGTGATTTTAACTAGAGAAATTTATTCTGCTAATAATAGTTATGTTTTTGGGGGTCCAGAGTCATGGTGACTTTGATCTTTTGAAGTTAATTTATGCATATTCTATATATGTAATATTTTCATCAAATTATTTGTATTAAATTTTTATAATGAAATGAAATTAATAATTTCATTATCTATTTATAACATATTTATGCAGGAAAACATTATACAGACGAGATGGTAACGCTGTTTTACAATATGGTTCTGCAAAGAAAAAATACAATATACAACATACAAACTCCCTAAAAACATACACGTTGTACTTATATTCCAGCATTTTTATAGTCCAGCAATATGTCGCAGAAAAACTCGTACTGTACGGTAGACTCTCTGATGATGAACTTTCTACAAAAGTATTTTTTTTGTATCATTTGGTAAAATCATCACTAATACAAGTTTAACATCACTATTGAAGCTTTATTACATAATCAAGTACGTCAAGTAGGCCTAGCAACCCTGCTCAAATTATAAAATTTATTTTTCCACTCGCCTCTCACATGTCTTTAATAAAGTTTGCTGTTAAATTTTTATTAACAAAAAAATGCTTGGCTGATTTTATTTTATTTAGAAGTTTCGGTAGCATTTTACATCCATAGGCCTAAATACAATAAATTTGCTTATGCAGTTAACCATTTTACTATGTATACATACACAAACATATTATATGCAATTTAAACGTCACATTATGATTGATAATGTATATAGAAAATGAAATATAGGAAATATTATTTATCCATTTGTTTATACAAAAATGCCTGTATTTTCATATCTTTGAATGAAATGCAATATTTATTACAAAATGTATTACCTTCATTGATTTTCAACTGATCATCTCCTACCAGTTCCGTTATCAAATTCTTATAAACGTTTTTGCCTCTTGCTATTTCTAAGCACTTCTCACTACCATCCAAAGCATCAATGTTTGTGAACCCAGCCTGCATTGCCTGAAAGTTTAGGTTTAAAGACAACAATTTGTGCAATGAGATCAAAGATTTTAATACATGTGTGTTTGTAATTCTATATATATATACACACACATACATATATACATACATATATACATATACACATATATATATATATAACATATATATATATATGTGTGTGTGTGTGTATTTGTGTATACATTCTTTTGTCACTGAATAAAGAATGATATATATATATATAATTATAAATTATTATTATAATTATTATTAATTAATTTTATATACATATTATATGTATATATATATACTATATATACATATAATATATATCTACAATTAACGAATAATAATTATATTAATTTATAATTTTATATATATAATAAATTATAATAATATTTATAATTATATATACATACTTTTATACGCATATATATACATACATATATATATGTGTATATTTGTGTACACATTATTTTGTCACTGAATAAAGAATGATAGAAATATATATATAGTATATATACTGTCTCTTATACACATCATATATATATAGTATATATATATATATATATATATATATATATATATATATATTATATATATGATATTGAAGGGAGTTGGCCGTTAACACTGTTGAATAAATATAATATAAATCATCGAAGGTACATATACAGTGTTTTAAATAAGGACATGATTTAACATCGTAGGCTGCCCTATAGCTTTTCAACGAATAAAGTCCTATAAAAGTCATTGTGTAATAAAATGCCTCCGACGGGATTCGAACCTGCGACCTCTCGCTAACAAGGCGAGCGTCATAACCACTAGACCACGAATGCTTCATGGTTGAACAGGAGTAGATTTTTTAGTTTCATAAAATAACTTCAACTTTCTTTTTTCTCAAAATGTCAAACTCAAAGAGCTCAATCACCAAGCGCATAGAGGCTTTTTCGCATGATGCACTCTACAAATCCAAATAACCGTAGAGAACATCGTATTACACAATGCTACGCCTCAAGAGGGCGTTCGGCCAGATAAATCTGGCAATACGGCTAGAAATACTGTCGTATATTATATA